TTTTTTTCATTTTCATTTTGCTTACGGACTTCTAATCTCAAAAACTATGCATTGCACTTTGTGCAGATTTTGCCTACATCGTCTAAAATTCGCATGTAAATTTATTTTTTCTTGCTTTGATGGGACCCCGACGGGTCTTTAATAAAAATAATTGAATTGAATTGAATTGAATTGAAGTGATTAGATTAAGAAAAGCCAAGTGGCATGTTTCGCAGGATCGTTCAGGTAAAAATCCATGCTGACTAGAGCTCAGAAGCCGAGTAGCTAGACAGAAGTCAAGAATTTCATTGAACATAATCTTTTCAAGAAGTTTTGCTAGAGACGGCGTTTCGTGCACGCCCCGATAGTTATTAACATCGGACCGAGATCCTGACTTGAAAACGGGAATGATAATTGGCGTTTTCCATGTTTTAGGAAAGAATCCTTTTGAAATATTAACCGAGAATAAATGACTGAGCAATATGGGAAGGTCGGACGTTTGTTTAATAATCGAATTCGGAATCTCGTCCGTTCCTGAGCAGTGTGAGTATTTCAAACGGCTTATGTGTTTCTTAATGAGATCTGAGGAGACATCAATTGTACTCAGTGTCCTATCTGAAAGTGATCAAAAGAAAGGGACCGGATCGGACTCGGTAGCAAGGTGTTTTGCAAAGAAAGCACTAAACAACTCCGCCTTGTCAGTGTCATCGTTGAGGAATACTTTGTTATCATTTAGCATGGGTGGAAGTTCATGACCACGCTTAGAGGAGGACCGATGACGGAAGATGTTAGCGACGGATTTGCCAGGGTTCGAACCACTGAGAGCAATTGATTCTCTTTGCCTGTCGCGCGCTTGGCGCATCCTTGAGACCATCTCAAATATCTCTGTGATTCTAAGATGAACAGATAAGGAACTAGTGGATGGGTCACGCAGTTGTCGCCTCAACTTTTTTAGTCTGTTCTGAAGAAAATGAAGAACAAGGGAATCTGAAGAATTAGGCTTGAGATATCTACGCGGCACAAACTCTAGAATGTCCTTGGAAACATTGGACATGACATCACGAAGAATGGTTACATAGCTACAAGTGAGGAAGCCACACCAATCCAAGGATCTCATATAGTTATTTATTAAGTCGCTATCTACGCAGTCGTAGTTCATGAAAGTCTGAACGGCGCTTGTCTTTTTTGAAAAGGCAAGCGGTAGGCAACAATGAATTAATACGTGGTCACTGTCAAAGAGGTCCTTTTTTAAAGCAACAGAAAGAGGAGCAATGTCATTGGTAAAGATTAGATCTAAAATGTGATTATCTCTTGTTGGAGAGCGCACCAGTTGGGACCAATTAGAAAAATTGACAATATCTTGAAAGGGCTGGAATCTGGGTGGGCAGCTATTGGAAACCCAGTCAATTTCAGGAAGGTTTAAATCTCCAGTGATTATTTTAACATCGAAAGCAGCTTCCGAAATTAATTTAAAGATTTCACAGAGTTGAGAATCATCACTGGCTAAAGAATTTGGGGGATTGTAGATACAGCCAATAATTGCCTTTTTTGTGGCGAGAGAATAACAGATGCAAAGCAGAAGTTTCCCGTGAATGAGGAAACATCCAAGTAATAGGGAGAGTGCTTTAGGTAGGATTTAAGATAAAGAAGACAACCACCCCCACGCCTAGTCGTGCGGTCTTGGCGGTAAAAATCGAAGTCATCTATGAGAAGGGCAGAGTCAAGAATTAGAGAATGGGTCCAAGATTCTGTTAAACATATAATATCAGGCGTCATTTCCAGAGCAATGGCTCTGATTTGGGCCATCTTGTTTATAACAGACCTGTCATTCAATAATATAATATCTAATGTGTTTCGAACGGCAATGCTATTGTCGACGGTATTTTAAAAAAATTTGGAGGCGGATATGTAAGCTGTGAATTAATGACACTTGGAGAATAAGTACCAGTTAATTTAGAGTTATTGACGTACGGGGAGTCAGCAAGAGAAGGCTGAGTATGAGACCTAAAGGAGGTGCGGACATAGTTTTCAAACATTGGAATGCTAGGGGAGTCAGAACATGGATAGACTTGTTGGTAGTTAAATAATGGACGAAGGGGAGGAGGAGGGAGGCTAGAAGGAAAGTAGGGGCTAATGGGTGAGGGTAGGCCACTAAAAGAATGAAATGGTGGGAAACCAGGTCTAGATTGGAAGTCAAAGGAGATAGGTTGACGTACCTGAGAGCAATTGGCCTTAAGTTTTGGGAAGCCTGAACTAGGTTGGGGCATGAATGATTTAGGGCAATTCATGTATGAATTATTTGCTGGATATATAGTAGGGCTTTGATAAGTAACCGGTACGCAGGACAGAGAGTTATTCGAGGATATAATTGGAGCTGCGGGGTTTGTAGACGTGCTGGGCTGAACAGACTTGCTAGATCTAAGAGAAGGCGTCGTACCCCTAAATGGAACTGTACTACCTATTTTTGGGGTCGGAGTCTGATTCAATTTTCGAGTCTCACCGTTCTGACGCCAAGCCAGAGTTGACTTAGCTGTAGACCTTACAGCACCCAGTTGGACAATAGAAGTTATCGGTCTAGCTGATGTAGACGGATTTTCATGTGTCTCAGCGGGACTATCCGGAGGATACGAAACGACAAATGGGGCTGCTGCTGCTGCTGCTGCTGCTGCTGCTGCAAGTTTAGGGGCAGGCAAATGCGTCAAGTGGCTTGAGTGAGATGGAGGTGTAGGAGAATGAGGAAGGAGGGAGTCAGATGTCGCAGGAGTAGGAGAAGCTGAATCCTTACGGCCACTTGTATTATGACCGAGTTGGGGAGCATTAGACTGAGAAGCAGTGGGTTTACGTGAGTATAGAGACCCGATTCTACGCTCCATAGGAGTAAGATCATGACAAAGGAAAAATTTTGCCTTCTCTGGGTACGCAGGGACACGCTCTCGATGAGTAAAGATTGTGTCAACCTCGATTGATGAAAACAATTTGACTAAGATGGGTGGATTTGTACTACGGGAGGACAAGCGTTTGGCGTCAGCTACTTTATAGTTGAAACCACATGAATACAGGAAATTGGTCGCAACATCCATTGGCCGAGCAGATCGAGGAACATTTTTCAGCAGGAAGTTGTAAGAACGCTTCTGTCTATCACTAGATTCATTGGCGATCAGGTGAACAAGTGAGTCGAGACGCCTACATTCTTCAGAGGGAATATCGGAGATGTTCCCGTCGAATAAATGTCCAAGAATTGTCAGCAAAGAGTCAAACTTTAGCATAAAGTCATTGCAGTGGTCAAGTGCAGACAGATTAAGCTGCCGATCAATTACAACGGGTGACGACTGACTAGTAATGTCATCTGACTTAGATTTAGGTAAAGCTTCTGACTTACGTTTAGTTAGGCCATGTTTACTTACAAGAGCCGAGAGCTTGCGTCGACCAGTGACTTTTGGTCTCATCTTGTCTCGAGGCAATTTGTGATTAAGAAAACTTCTGGCAGACAAGTTGACTGAATTTCAGCTAGGGGCTAACGATTTAAAAATAAATTACAACAGTTAGAGAGAAATCGGATGCACAAAATGAGAATTGCAGAGTGCGATTAGTGAACAACGGGCATAGACTAGCAGAACTCGAAAGGAGATGGCAGCAGGCAGTTATGAGAGAAGAGGCCTGTATTTAAGGAAATTCAACCAAAAAACAGGTACTAAAATCGTTGGGTCTCACAGAAAAACCACTTAAAATAATATCCTCCACTTCAAATTTAAAACCAGCGGCTTGACCTTGATACATTTGCGGATGGCCGTTCTTTCCTTTAGCCAAATGTGTCATATATAGCTGAGTGTGCCCTGGTTTCAGACACACAAGTTTAAGGGCAATATTTGGCCACATGTGCACGTTACAGAAAAAATTTTAGCAACATGTTTATTTGACGCCAAGGTAATCGCCCACTCCAAAAGCAAAACAGGCCGAGAATCGGCTGAGGCCCGGGCCCCAAATGATTGCTCAGCCACCTAATTTAGCAATCTACAGCCGGCGCCCAGAGCCCTGCGCAGTCTTAATGGCCCGCGACATAAGCAGTGCTGTTTGAATTTAGAAACACTTTTGGAGCGTTTACCTGTGTTGGTGGTGGCGTAAATATGCTTCAGTGAAGATCGCCGGTGTCTCTTCCCCCTCCTGCCGCTGACCCTATTCCCGAAACTTATCGTAAGACTCGCATCGCTCTCCCCTTCTACGTCGGCATTTATCTCGTCTCCCGCCTGCAGTTGCCCACAGCTCTGCGTTCCCACCGATTGCTTGGATAACCTGTCAATCTGACCTCTCCGTCCAGACAGGTTGCTCCCTTGTTTGTTTCCCATCCCATTTGTACGATCAACTAATATTAAACGTATTCTCAGTTTCCATCTTCTCCCTTTGCACCTTATTGCCTAACTAACGTTCCTTCTTCGTTTGCGTACGGATGAGTATTGCGGAATTTTAATGGACCTATTGGGGTCAGTCTTAGTCAGAATGCCTTCCTTGTACTTCGCCACCTCGGTATGTGCTACTATCGACGTCCTCGGCCGTTACACAATCACCCCCAGTCACGTGCGATTGCTCAGTGATTGCCCCACACTTGTCGCCCGTTCTCTTGTTGTTACTATCTCTGAAGATGGACACATTTAAGAGTAAAAAAGCTCAGAGCAGTAAGTATAATGCTCCGACGCCCAATAAATCGTCTTCTCTACTTATACATTATGGACTTGGGCTTCGCACATTTCTCTGTCCACCTCTGCGTGCACTTCAACCCTCGATCCAATGAAAATACATAAAATCCTACTATGCAGGGAAAAAACTTGTTTCAGGAATCCTTATAAAAAGTTCATTGTCCTCACAATCACTGTTAAAAAAATTTAAATCGTTATCTGTGCGTTTTAGTGCATCTAATCCCTTGGCGCTCCTTTGCTTTTCGGCTTCCGCTACCTGGGTTGGTCGGTTGGTAGTGCATCGTTTCCTTTTCCCGTGTCTTGCTGTGCTTGATAATGTCTCTCAACACTATGTATGATAACGCCCTTCTGGGTATCTTACAAAACGAGGGAAACTTGCCAAAGTTTATGGATGCCATATTTGGATTTTTGATGAGAAGGTTTGTTGCGCAACCTTTATAAAGATGCTCTACAAAGGACCGACTTATTCTACATCCGGACACCGGACTCAAAATCAACTTTAGGCTTCCCTCCGAACGTAGCCCGCAGGATTGTTGCGAGCGTATGTTCTGAATCTGTTTTTAATTTTGGCCAGTCTTTTGAAAAGTACAATACTATGTTCCAGACTTACGAGCAGCAGCATCAGAACGCGGTCGGTGCCAATGCAGAATGCAGTTCAGGTAACGCGTTTTTCACCTTAGAACGTGTTCAAAAGCAGGGAGTACACCTCGGGATCCAGAGTCCAAAGATGCTATACCGAAGTCAGCCAACAAACGTCAAACCAAGCCAAATAAAGATGACGCGAACGACCCGGGAACTTACTCTAGGTAATTATTTTGACACCTTATCTTTTTAGTGTGTCGAAAGATGGTGAACGCTTTTACACTGCCGAACCCGACTGCTATAACGGTGCCAGGAGAGATCTTTATTCCTGGAGCCAATCTATTAAGGACCTCGATATCCGTGTGAAGGTAGTGTCGATCCATCATGCCTTGATGTATCAACTCAGATACCTGACTCCGTTACTTCTAGCAGAGACATAACTGTCAAGATTGATCAGAAACATCTTCGGATTGATGTAAAAGGAAGCTCGGAACCTCTAATTGACAAGGACTTTTTGTTTGACATCAAAAAACAGGAGGCCCTGTGGTCTCTTGATTTGGACGAACGCCACGTAAGGCTCTAATCAAACTTCTGCTATTCATAATAACATTGCTTCATACCACCAGCTATTATTGTCTCAGGGCCGAACCTGCACATAATGTATTTCCTTCGAAGTGATTTCATGTACCCCTGTCACTGTAAATGCCTTGCAGATTTTCGTAGGATATTACGTATATGGTTCGCATTGTGGACTTTGGCATCAGCGTTGATGAACCATCCGAACGCTCTCTCAAATAAGTTCCTAGAACTCTGCATGTCTCCATCAAAACTTGACCCTCATAAAACAGTGTAGCACCTTTGAAATGCCTGCATACTTCGCGAACAATATCTAACATCTGAATATTGACAGTTCGACTGTCGCTCTCGACAGTGTACACCGTGTGTCCCACAGTGATGAGCGCAGGACGGTGACTTGCGCGTGGATTAGTTTATGATGATTGCCAACTTGCGCAGCATCTGCAGCCATCACTCCTTCCCCATCTAACTGGATCCATTGACAAAGCAGTTACGACGACCGGAGGCGGGCTCAGACGCTGTGAAGGGCAAATATGATCGACCGGTATAGGCGTGCCACGCACAACCTGATCTCCGTACAATGTATCTGGTTTTTCAGTCGGTATTTGAGCCGGTTACACCACGTGCACATACAGCACTGACCGCAGGGGTCGAGTTGCTCAAGCAGTTAGAAAACCCCCTAGAAACAACTTTTAACTCTTTGTGATAAATTCAAGCGCGTCAGCTCTATAATATTGAAGAATGCGCTGAGGTGCCGCGAGGACGGAGTCTCTAAAATACCAAATTTAAATAGGGCATCCATCTCCACAAAACGATATGACTATCTTTGCACGATAACAAAAATAAACTAGAATAACATTTCCTTCTGCGTGTAATTTATGAATACGCCTGCATAGGTGCGGTTGAAAGCCTCTAATCTACTAGGAGCAAATTTTTCTGATTACGCCCATCGTTACCCACCTTCGCAGCGTCACTTAAGCATTTTTTTCCATTTGAAAGTATATCAGAAAATTGTTGTTGGTACCTCAAGAATTCCTCTATAGGCTTCATGCTTCAACACGCGTCACTATGCCATCGCGGTGCCGCAACTGATCGTAGTCGTTTTAATTGTCCGAAGTACGCTGGTGGTTTGCCACCATGGCGAGTTCCTTTGCGAAATGCTGTATGTCTTGTCTACAATGGGCAGAATGGCAGCTGAAGTGACCCTTAAAACCAACCCCAAGATGAAGTTTATGATTTCAGATTTGTCTCACCAGGATATCTATCTTGCCACAACAGCTAGAAAAACACATAGACTAAAGGGGTTTCCGCCACCTTGGGTCGAACTTTCTGCCAAACGGGTGATATAATAGCCAAGCGGGCTGTCGGATCAACTATGCCCACTTAGCCTTTGCCTAGCTTGCCGGCTAGCCTTTTACTTAACAGCTTTCGCACCTTGTGGATGCATGTATTGGGAAATTCAGGATGGCCTTTGTATTGGCAATGGTTATGCTGGCCAGATATTTACCCTGCGGTGGATACGAAGACGTAATTGTTCTTAATAAACAATTATTGTCTGAGTTCGTAGTTTCGTTGCAATGTCGTACTCAGCCTACAGAAATGCCATCTAAGGGGACTTTTACTTTCACGCCATAAAAACTCCCTCACTTGGTTAGACTACTACCAACTCGAGCAAACCAAGGTCCGGTCATCCGATGAAGAAGTCGAATAGTTCACAGTTCACACAGACGTTCCTTAAAGCTGCGAAAATCCACCGGTCCTCTCTCACTATGCGATGCATTCGGTTTTGGTCATTGCATCTCATGCTTACACAGCCGTCTCAGTTGAACCGAGCGTCATTGTCACAGACACTATGTTGACGATCGCCCCTTCGCTCACTCCCAAGACACGCAATCCCCCTTGACCACAAAGTGATACATATTCGCTCTGGCTTAGACTGAAATCAGATGCAACTGTAACCTAGGGGTTGCTCAGCAGCTTCATGCTATAAAATATTTCTCTTGCCAACGCGATACTCGAATCGGTCGACTCTTTGTCTGCCTCTGTCCTCCGTTGTTAACGACTTGTAAATATCAGAGCTTCAACTGTCACCACTTACACCTAACACGTAGTTCGTCTCCGGGAACATCTCTGGCCTTGCCATAACGTTCGGCAAATGACAGAGGGTCGAGTCTGTGAGGCCGCGTTCGAAGCTGCGTTTAACTACGATTGGCTTACTAAACTTAAGAGTGCATAGTGTTTCCAGAAGCTATAACACCCTCGGCCGAAGAACCATGCCTAAGACGCGGGATTCTACAAATGATCGTGGGCATCGTGCCAGTCATGTTTTGGAGGATTGCTCTATCACATGTTCTGTCAATCAAAGGGCCTCGTTTCTGGTCCGGACTTGCGCCGCCGACGTTCCGAATAGCTGAGAAAGCGGACAAGTATTATTGAGTCCACAGACGCTAGAGTTGGTGCGCTCAAGGGTTTTCGGCGTTCGAAGGTGGAACGCAAACTTCGCAGCAACTGTTTTAGGGGTGTCCGCTGATTTTAGTGAACGACAACACGATTCCCGGGGCATGAACGCTGGAACTGATCAAGTCAGTAGTGGTGCTATCCACTACAGTTGTGTATGAAACAACCGGCCAGTGCAGTTTTCTTTGTTTTTCGTCTCCGTATTTCTCTTCGCTTTATTTAGCCTTACCGTCTTTGTCGCTGTGAGTAAATAAAAGTATGCCATAGCCTTAAGCAGTCTGCACCAGTAGCAATCCACTTACGATTGCTAGTTATTTGCCCCATATATTATCACCTGATTTTAGTTTTGCTGTTTTCCTTCCACCTGATAGATCCTCATCAACCTAGACAAGGTGAGCGAGTTATGGTGGGAGGCGGCTTTTGTTGACGAGGAAAAAATCGATGTACAGAAGATTGACTGCTCCCGACCAATGCACGAACTGGACGAAGAGTCACAGGCCAAGATTGCTCAAATGCTCTTCGACCAGGAACAGAAACGGTTGGGCCTACCAACATCGGAAGAAAAGGTCAGTTGGCGAGTCACACATTTATTTTCCGATGGTCGAGATGTATGTGGTGTGAACGGGGGGTTGTCATTTAATGCATAGACAGTCACTAAGTGCCGAGCTGAACGAGTGGTCATCTGCCTCTGACCCCACCTTACACCTGGTTGCCTCTTGTTGCTCCATAAAGGTGCGTTAGGTCCAGCAACTATCCCCAATAGCTGGGACTTTTGTAGCAGTACCAGCGGCGCTCTTTGTACAGCCTTCCTTCTAACGCTTCATTTTATCCTCTTCATCAAATTAGACGATGGGCGGAAGAAGTCGGGTCAGTCGACCCCAGTCGATTCTCATGCTTGCCAGAGTATCGTCAAAGTAACTATACAATGGATGCGCTGTCTCGTGAAGTGTTGACCGAAATTCTCGAATATGTTTTCGACTCGCAAAGACTACTTAACTAGGGTTTTAATATTAAATATCGTGTAACATACTCCCGAGATCTTTCAGTCGCACCAGTATGCCGGTTCTTGAATGAACTTCTTTTTGGCCGTCTGCAAAAACAACACCCTGCAAAAAATGACTACTCAAGTAATACAAATTTGTCCCCTGACTATCGATTTCCTGGTAAATTCAATTATATTTTATAGAAAACCCGCACAAAAATATTTTGTGTGTACTCAGTTGGTAGCGAATCGCGTCATCTGCAGTTTTTTTTTCACTTGAAGAGAGAGTGTCTTTTGGTTTTAAAAATTTTCTAATTATAAGATTTTTAAGACGTGAAGTGTCCATTCATGCATCATCGCACCCAGTACAAAGTGTTCTTTGCCGATTGCGTTTCTTTCACTGGCCCACCGAGCTGGGTTGCAGCAGAGCACCTCGGTCACCTCAGAAGTTTTTATGGGAATCACGGTACTGTGTTCGGACATTTTTTCATGATCCTGAAAGTTTTCTGTGCGAGTCAACCCCAAAACCTATGTGGCTTGCTGTCTGTTTCACTATTTTTCGCCAACAGCCTGGTTTATTTGGGTCTAAACATAGGACACCAACAGCAAGAAAACCTACATCAGGCCGATTCACGGTTGCCATGTCACAGCTATGATCAGGCAAAACGACATTTTTGGGCATTCGGTCTGGTGACCCTCGACGCTTTTCGCTTTGATCGAGTCCAGCCTGTTAGTCCGCGGGCGCCTATTCGCCAAGCGTCAAATTCGGCGTAGCTCACAGTTAGACTAAGCTGAAAGCCGTCCCCATATTCACCACTAGTGGTCTTTCCGAATGGCAAGCAGATAGGCTAATATACGGATTTCGGCTATCGATTAGGCCGGAAAGAATTTCCTGCATTGCTTTAAGACAAGCTGATCGAGGTGGAAATATAAAATTCTTCGCTACCAGTGGTGAAATGCATTCCTGAGGGTGTTATGGTTAAACAAAAGCACATTTAGGTGGGGCAACAGAAAAGGAATCTATCGTATCTGGCCTGCCTCATGAAGTGCCAACCTAGATTCTAAAATGTATTCCTGACTAGAAATCCTTACATGGATGGTGTTGATTATAGCGCAACAGTCACGCTGGAATGCCGGCCTTTGAACGAGTTCTTCCTGGCCGCCAGTAAAAACCGCGCCCGGTACAAAATGGCCACTTAAGTAATATGGATGTTCTTTATGGATTTTCGATGCTTTTATGAAGCAGAATGGTCTTTGAAGCAAATACGCACAAAGTGCTCTTGAACCTTTTCGGTAGCAAATAATATCTTTAAATGTGTATTTGAGGGGACGGTATCTTCTGTCACAATAAAGTTTGTAATTACAAGATTTTTAAGACCGTCAAATGTCTATTCATACAACCTCCTATCTGTGCGGTTATGAACGCTGGTTATAAAATGTACAAAATGGCTCATCTTCATTGAAGAGTTTCATGAACCCCGCCTGTTGTCTTTTTAATAGTGTAGACAAGTGTATGATCTTCCTTACATGGAAAGTATACAGCATGTAGTTGGAAAACCCTATACGCGAGTTCGGCTGCAAGTGGGACTCAAAATTACTCGGAAATTTGAAATGTTTTATGAAAACTAAATATACCCTTTCTTTAAGTATAAGATTTTAAAAAGACACACTTTGCCACTAAATGAGTACAAGAAAGAATAATTTGCGCATATTTTCAGCAAGGTATACTTTGATTTATAGGAGCATCGTAAAGTCAACCGGGACAGTCCATGCTACTTACGTAATTGCTTTTTGTCGGGTGTGGTTTTTGCAGGCGGCCGGGAAGAAACCCATTCTAAAGCTGGTGCCCTGGCTTAGCTTGAATATCTTGGGATTGTGGTGTTCGATAATCAATTTTGCAACCGCACCTGTTTAATCCTTTCTAATCAAAACCACATTGAAGAATTTAAGTTAGCATTTCTTGAGATAGGCCAGGTCGCATGTCGGTGTCACCTCACGTGTTTTTATACATTTAAACACTAACTACTAGATCGTTTAAACAAAAGACGCCAAATAACTCGGGCTGGAGTGACCAAGAGCTGCCAAATTCCCATTTACAGGAAACTGGCAAGCCAAATCTAGCCTTCTTTATGTTGGTTTGCATGTGACTGTATGGTGTCCTCTACTGGAAGACTAGTTCGGAGTGCTTTTCATGATTGCGCCCACGGTATTCTTGCCGCGGTTATAAAAGCACAACTAGTCAGTAAATGCGGTGCCGCTTTTCCCGATGAAGCCGCTCTCAGCAACGGAAACAACAGTCCCACAATCTAATCCACCTGCTGTCCTGTCTTCCGTCACTAAAAATCTGCCGTGACCTACCTTGCGTGTCATCGGGTGGCGGATAGTAGAAGAGCCGCAAAATGAAGGCACTTGGCTCGGACAATTATGCAGTCGGGGACCAACGACGACAGTGCTGCTAGGACATGGAGGACACCGCCCTATGGCACACTATAAGCTACTGCACTGTCGCATTGTAACGTGGTAATGATGAACCACTTTTGTATTCAGGGTCCTTTACCACCTCTGTGTTATGGTTAGGTTCCAACAAATCAAAATGTCCAACACTGAAAAATCCAGATGACCATTTGGAGATACACCTTTGCCGAACATTCACACGACACCTTAATAAAACTGAAACCGGCTAGTCCAGACGTCGTCAACTATAAGTTTTGAAGTTCCTGCCAAGCCCACCCTGCGCATAACCATGTATCACCATTTGCTTGTAGCCTGACACAGAGAGTAGCAGAACTCATTAAATATCCACCGAAATTTTCGAAAAGATTTTGATGGAATGTTGATGGAGTGGGGTGGTATTGTTAGCTATCATTGAACCCCAAATTTATTCCTGTATGCTAGCATTCGAGTGTCTGATTGTGAATATTTTGGCCAACCCGTCTTGATTAAATATGGCAAAGAATTGCTGCTTAGCTAGTGTGCATTTCAGCCATCGTTTTCTTCATTTTATAAATTGTATCATGGGCAAGTTTCACATCTTGTGCTGGTTGATAGGCGCTTGCTCCTTTAAACTTAGTACCAAAAGGAGGGCTGATATCAAGTTGATGAAAAATGCAAGACCTCGGAAATGTCACAATTGTTTGAAGAAAAATATATGTACTGTTTACTTTGAAGGCCTTGAGAAAAGCGAAGATGCAGGTATCCAAATGTACCGTATGCCATCTGAAAATTCATCCTATTGTTCAGTTTTAAAAACTAACCAAGAATTGGAAGTATACTCACTAAAGTTAAAAGTATACATCGTCATGGCCCACTAATCAGCCTGTCCACTTTGGGCCACAATCACCGTTTCAAATCGAGAATGATACTTAACCCTGTTGTAGGCGCTAACGTATTGCTTTTCACCTTCGAAATGAATAGCCACGGATATTTCAGCTTCGGCTGTTGGGACTTGCAGGTCTTTACCTGGCCATAAGTCCGGATTGAGTAGTTCAGGTGGTTGAGACGACTGGAGCTGGGTGGCCGCGTCCTCTTTGACCAGAACTTTGGGTTGTCTTAGCCCTGTGAAGAAGGGCCTCATCCTGCATGAGAATTGCCTCCCAAAATGTCCGAATAGTTTTGCTGTGCTCAAGAAATGACGCAGGACGCCGGACCGAGGTTCAGATGCTGCTCGGCCTTGGGAGGACGAGAAGAATTTTGAAGCCATTTGGAACTAGACCGAACACCCATTGGAATGGGTGTCTGCCTTTGTTTTTGTTTCTGACTTTGCAGGAACTTGGTGTTATACTTATCTATCCTGCTCCTAGAGGCCTGGTCGACACCGAAACACTTCTGGTTTGTGAAAGGCATGATCGTCAAAATATTTTTGCTTCGTTCAAGCCCCAGACCCCAAATGCCATCAATCAACAGGGACTATTTATTTCTGGCAAAAGCCAAGTGGTTCTAAATGTATGCTCGCGGAGGAATTTTTAACGCCACATTCCAATAGACGAAGGATTAAAAATGTTAACCATGTTCCTGTAAAATTCCGAATTTATATAAGCATCGAAAATTAGTGCTGAGTATCGTAGATCGGGACGCTATGTCAGAAATTTTTGTGTTTGACCCCTGAGGTTGTGTTTTGGGCTTTTAAAATGCCTTATTAGCACGTTGCTCACTTCTCCTTTTCTTGTTGCCCTGTATTTTATACGGCTTTTCTCTAGAAAATTCAAGAAATGCTTAAAGGAGCTTGGAATAAGGACGGTTCACCCTTTAAGGGGACAAAATTTGATCCGAGCGTCATTGACGTTTCTGGTGCGGCGGGACCAGGTGTTATGCCAATGCCTCCGAACCCTCCAGCTGCCTCTTCGTAGGCCCAGTCATTGACTACGATTTCAAGAGTCTACTTCCTCCCCTTGTCCTCCTTCTCTACACTCGTTCTTTAATTTCTGCGCCGAGCTCTGGGCTTAACTCCGTATCTTCCTCACCGTTCTTCGGATATTTTTTGCTCAAATAATAACCGTTGGACCACCTGTTATATTTTCTCTCTCGATGAACGCCTCAAACACGACTAGCAGGTAGTTGTTCCCGTCACGCTGTAAAATTGGCGCAGCCGTTTACTGCCAGCGAACTATCCCTCCCACTTGATTCGCTCTGGTGCAGTGGTCGTATTTCCCGACTTGCCGGATTCGTGACAATTTATGCAATCTAGCTGTTGGGTCTTGTGCCGCGTATTCTCATTGGGGAGGGCGTTGGCCGAACCAGCGTTTTCTCAGACCGAAAGAACGACTATCAGCCAAGAGTGATTACCTTGAGCCTCCATGCCCACTGCTGTATAAGTCCTCATCAGGTTGAAACCCCAAGCTCAGCCAAGGGTGGTATTCTATTATCACACTTCTGCCACAGGTCAACTTGGCATCCAGAGGGGCATATCGGAGAAGGTGATGGACTTAATTCTCCGAGTTACTAACCGCGTTCCGAGGGCTACTCTGAAAGCACACCGTTGCAATCTGCCTTTTGTAGGTTCCTACCGGGTGTTCGGACCGTCAATTGACAGGGAAATGACTGAACAGTCTTATTCAATAACCTTTTCATTCAGTTCACACCGGAAGACTGGATACTCGCACTGCGTCGTTGTGAGACGAGATCGAGCTGCTGGCCTTCGATTTGCGTCGAATCCTACTTCAGTGGCCATCTGGTTACGCCTACCAGCCGCGAAGTTAGCCCATACTCCCTCTGACTCACAGAGGGTGTGTCCTTAATCGCGACGACTTCTAGGATTATCAGACGGAGCTCACTCATATGGAGGGAATGGTTATATTTAATGACTGTTTCGCATGATATACCATATATCTTTGGAAGATGGCACATTTTGAATTTAAGATGGGGAATGACGTCAGCCAGCAGAGCAGCCTTTGTGGATTCAGACTCCGATGGTTCGACCGCAGCGCACGTTTTCTAGCAGCGGTGTCTTTCTAATTCTCATAACCTTAGATTAGCAAAATGCCACTTTATCAGACATACAATCTCACTCAAATGGCTGATGTGCTACCCCTGAACCCTAGTTCCTGTTCCCTATTCCCTCAAGTAGATTAATGTTGAGGATATTGAGCCTCACTCTTGTTCGCTAGCCGTTTCAAAATCGTAGTAAGACCTGTCGGTGGAGACAGGGGCGAGGAGGGGTTTTCGCATTCGTCGGGGTGTTTTTCTGTCCAGTTCTCACGACTTCCACGTGAGAAGTAAAACTGCAGTCTGAATCGTAAGGCTGCACAGACTGAACGTAGGCCATAGCGTCTCTTTGATAACAATGGTCAGGGGAATCACGGCACGAGCAGCTCTCAAATCGCTGCAGTCGTCATTTGCGGGAATTTGTTGCGTCCAACTTGAAGGGGTGGTCAGATCGTGTGGAGCGAATCTTCACCCTTTTCGCTGCTGGCTTGTGCTCTCAGCACTCTTGCCGTCTCTGTTTAGTCTTTTTTCCTCAACTGCGCTGAAGGCTGTTAACGACTTGCTTGGTTTTTACCAGGACTGTGGGTAGTTCGATCTCGGACTAACCACTTCCTCGAAATATCTGCCAGGGGTATTATAATCCTGCAACCGTGTGCTCCTGTCCACTGCAGTGTACTGCAACACACTGATGGAGCGCTCGTTCGCAGGTGATTATGACAGCTTGTGTGGTTGATTTTTATGAGACTCAAAGCTTCCATCCACCCTTGAGACCTGATTCGCCTGTAGTTGTGAGCTAACTCAGTGTGTGCCATTCGTTGGTGGGCTGTTAAGATTTGTCCCATAGTACGCTAAAGCACGTCTCCGGTCGTTCTGACTTTTTGTCACTAAAACACAATGGGCGAATTTCCCACGGGTTAAGCTTGTCGGAAGTGAAGTTGAGAGCGAAAGAAAGGGGCTTGTGATCCGTGGACACAGTGAAATCCCTGCCATCAAGGGATTGCTGGAAGTGTTTCACGGCGAGGAAGACAGCAAGGAGCTCCCGCGTCAACCATGGGGGAGGTGGGAGCATCGGGAGAAAGAGGCGTCAGGGGAGTGGCGTCGGCCAGGGGAGCCTTTACATTATCAAAGGCAGCAATGGCGTCGGCAGACAACTCGAAAAAACCTTCGGGACCCGAGAGGAGGCTCGTGAGCAGCCGGATGGTGTCGGCGGTAGAAATTAACCATACCCAGAAATCGCTGCAGCTGACGTTTGGAAGAGGGGGGAGGGAAATCATGGATGGCCGCAACCTTCGAGGGAAGAGGATGGATCCCGTGGGAGTCGACCAGATGACCGAGGAATTCTAGGGAGGAAACACCGAAGACGCAATTAGACGGGTTGAGAACAACGCCAAATTGTTAAAGGCGGTCGAACGCCGTTGCAAGATTCTCCATATGTTCTTCGGTGGCGGAGCTGGCTACCGACAGATCATCAATGTAGACGTTGACAAATGGCAGGCTGCGAAGCACTCTGTCTACGAACCTCTGAAAGGTCTGGGAGACGTTGCGGAGCCCAAGCGGTATGCGGAGGAACTCCAAGAGGCCAAAAGGAATGGTGACGGCCGTCTTTTAAACGTCCTCTGGGACAATGCGAATTCGGTGGAAAGCACAGACTAGGTCAATTTTCGAGAACCCCGATTTGCCGAATAGGACTTCAGCATAATCCTGATGATGTGGGACAGGGTGTAGCGGTCTGGGACAGTAACGTTTTTCAAGGTCCTGTAATCACCGTAGGGGCGCCAATCACCAGTGGCGACCTTTGGGATCATGTGGAAAGGCGAGGCCCAAGGGAATTTCAGACTGACAGATCATGCCCATCTGAAGCATGTGCTCGAACTCGGCCTTGGCGGCAAACAGTCTTGCGGGTTCGAGACGGTGGGGCAGAGAAAATGCGAGAGGGCGAATGATCCGGATGTGGTAAACAACGTCGTTTGGTGGAGTAAAAGCGCTGAATTTGGGACGAGTGAGACTGGGGTATTTGACGAGGAGTGGTCGAAATGGATTTTTAGGTTCAGGGTCCAGGACGGCGAGTTGACGGGAAGCGTAGGCAGAAGAGATACTACGGACGGTTAGGTTGGTGGTCTGATCGTGTAGACAGGACTGACGGCAGTCAACCAGGAGATCGAAGGTGACGAGGAAGTCTGTGCCGATAATGGCACAGATGTCAGCGACGACGAAGACCCAGTAGAAAAGGCCGATGTCCAGAGAGAGAGAGAGGGAGAGAGAGTAGGTGCCGAAGGGGATAATGGGCGACGCGTTGACAACTTGAAGGAAAAGACCAGGATTGGAGCGCCGACGACCACCTGGTGTGGGCGGAATGGCACTGAAATGTGCACCAATATCAACCAAGAAACGCCCACCACTCCGGATATCGCGGACATAGAATGTGCAACCAGGATTAGAGCAGCCAGGATCATTGGCTGCACTAATCTGCGGGCTGACCCGTCTTACTCGTTTGCTCTGCTTGGGGATTCAGGAGCAGGAGGAGATGCAGCAAGGGGCTTTGGTACCAAAGGAGATGTGATACCAGCAGCTGGCGGATGTGTTGGAACAGGATGGGTGTACAAACTGGACATGTGGAGTGGGCAGCTTCGTTTGGTTCTGAGATGAGGGAGAAATTGCCTGCTTCTGGAGCGAAGCTATATTGATAAGAAGAAGCGCTCGCTGGAACAGGACCTTTATTCGTCGGACGTTTCGGATTCACACTTGAACCCATCATCAGAGACAGCGGCAGAAACGGGTGATTCGTGCACAGTGTGTTGCAGTATTTCTAGGATACATTCGCTATGCTACCGCAAATCTATAGTAATTAGCCGCGCTCCCCTTCCCCAAGAACTGTTGCCCGCTGGTGTGCTAAATGCTTGATGGCCGGCCGATAAGTTCTTAATTGCTGAAATCTTATCACCTGGCTTGAATGCTGGCGTGGTGATTGCTCGGCTATCTAGCTCACCGGCTTGCACGCTCCCCGAGTGATCAGTTACTTTGACCAGCCAATGCTTAAACACGGAATATGGAGTGGGGATGCACTTGTTGATAGATTGAGGTTCTCGTGAGAGAGAGAATAATCGCGTGAGCCGCGAGTTGCTTGATTCATGGTTCACAGGACCTCAGTCTATCAACAAGGGCAACGACATCCCAATCCATATTCCATGCTAAGGCATAGTCTGGCCAAAGTAATTAACCACTCCGGGAGCGCACAGGCCGGTGAGCCAGATGGCCGAACAATCACCACGCCAGCATCCAACACAGGCGCAGGGATGGTGTCTTGAGTAGGAGTTATTTTGTAGTGGTAATAGAGCTACGCAGAATCTACCCCACCCTCCCCTCCCGCACATACAGAAGGCAAAGTCAATGAGACCGGAGGCGTGACCGGGCGCAGTGACTGACAAGGTTAAGCAGTTCGCCTGCGCGTGCCACACGCCTATTCCGCACATAACTGACCAGGTTTCCACACAAGAGAAAAGGAGGAGAGGCTCGGGTTCCGATCAAATGGGGACGCTGTAGAAGCCACGTTAAAATGGAGCCGTTACAGCCTGATTATCCATCCTTAAGGGAGAACCGAGTAATCCCGTCAGTTGACAGCCTGCCAAGTCACGACTTTTAATGAGTCACTCTATTTTATTGGAACGCCAGATTATTTTTATTAAAAAGAATGCGCCAAGTACTGTGTAGACGCAATCCTCAGCTCCGAACTCACTCTCATCCTTCTATCCCCCTGGCACAAGTCTACTCTCCGAGCCGGTCAGTTGTCTGATGACGGGGGTTGAGCCCAGTGGTTGAAAGGGGCAGATAGCCCGTCTTCGCGTGCCACACACGACTTGACACCTACAAACCCAGGTCTTTACATTGGTGGGTTGGCTGTGAGAGGGCCATAGAGGCCACATGGAGAAGAAGCCAAACAACACGCTCCTCATTTACACGAGAAGGGCCTATTCCTTGCTCATAGTGGGTTATGTGGGAGCGGATTCGGGTGTGGTGTATGTGCTAGTGAGGAAGGGTATGGTGTTTTGGTTTGGCTGGCGGTGGCGGTGGCGCTTGTGGTCGTCGCCGCCACCACTGCGGACGCTGCACATTTTGCGCGGAGTGGCGATGGAAACGTTTGCAGAGACAGCAGGTGAACTTGTCGTGTTGTCGTTGCATTGGCTCCAGAATTGTTTGACGAGGCCGATCCGTGTGCAGGATTCTCGTTGATAACGTAGGCCTGCTGGAGGGAGTTGGGCGTCGGTGTCGTGGGTTGAAAACATTTGAGACTTGAGAGCCGCTCTTTCGGCTCTGCCATCGGTGATTTGGTTGTCTTCCGCATGTCGGCCGATCCTGAGAGAGATGTTCCCAGGTCTCCTGGTTGATTTATAGATCTTCGTGGGAGATTTTTAGGGACTTGTGACATCGTTTCAGCTCTCCGTGTTAACCAGCACCCTCTGTGAAATCACCGTATAGGATTTGTTTGGGCAAGCGTTCGTCCTGCATCCTCACTACGTGGCCGCTCCACCGTAGTTGCTTATTTTCAACGTGACGTAGATTTTGAGGATTCGAGCTCATTCCAGGACTTGCCTGTCGGGGACTATGTCTTCCCACCTAGGCTGCGGGGTTCTCCTGGGGAATCTAGGAGGAATTGGTTTAGTTGCCTGACTTGTTTGGTGTAGATGTTTCACGTGTCCGCCTCATAAAGCACGCCATCATGTCTACCGCTCTGTATGTCTTGGTTTTTGTGTTGAGCTGAGGTTTGCACCAGTTCCACGTCCTCTCCCGCCATCATATTAGGCGCTCAGTCACCCGTACAAAATAAGTCATGGACGATAGTCCGGGATACCTCCGAGGACGCTTTATGGCGACGAATGTTGAATAGTTTCCCTCGATTTAGTAACTGATATCGACCCCGACCTCCCTCTCAGGTAGGCGTCCATCAGCATGGCAGAAAACACGGAACCCGAATAATGTGGGGGTGAGTACGCAGCACAAATTTAGTGGTAAGGCGCGGATATGAGTATCCCCCTGATCTCTACTCCTAAGGAGATTCTATTCGCTTCATTGAGGCATTGTCATGCTCATTAACAGTATCTTTCGATGTCCATTTTCATTAACAACGCCACCCTCTTCCCCAGACATGGTACTGACAGGCTCCCTCAATCACACTGAACCGTAAGTCTCAACGTATTACAATGATGGGTGGCCATTCGCCCGATGTGAGCCCTGTTACATCAAACTTCACCTTGAGCATCTATGACGACGGAGATCGCAACCATCAATCAGTTTCATTTCGGCTGTAGGCACCGTTGGCTGGCCAGAGTTAATTATCATCTGTCCTTGCTGCAGCCTACCGCGGCATGTGCCAGTTGCTTTCTCCCACTCTCATCGAATCTAGTGATTGGCGTTCAGTCGACCATATTGGTCCCTGCCACTTCTGACTACGTCTTATATGGCGTTTCTGATAGGCCATATCGTTAACAGTCGACTTTCTATCAGTCGCCGACAAGACAGCTAAAAAACTGTCTGATCCTTCATATGTCGCCGGTCACCGTATAGCACCCTCTTTTAGCTTCTACCCGTAATTCAAATAGGGACTTTTAGAGAAGGCGATGAGCTGTGCTGTCGATAGGTGCAGAAAAGTACATGTTGTTTTGACGAACACAGCCACCCAAATCCATAGCTCTCTCCCATGGCCTCTTTCCTACTCGACTGAGTGACACGCAGCTCTCCATAGTGAACTCTGGCAATCACAGTTTGGCTTTGCATATCTGTTGTTGCAAATACCGCAGTCATCAGTCAGGTTTCTGCTGATCAGCAACAAAGTCGACCTTTGAGGCTCTTAGTTTTTCCCAATCACTAATCAGGTCGTTGGGGTGCGTCCGCTATCTGTTTCTAATGCCATCTCTTTTGCTGGTAGATAATCGTCCTTCTTTTCCTTCCCACTATTATTCCGGCTAGCAGTTTCGTGTCCCAGACGGAGAGCCTTACTGTCCCTGGTTACACCTTTTTCTATCTTTTGCACTTATTTCCTTGCCTTCAGCCAATTTTCTATTGGTCGCCCACGTAGCTTTCACTTCTCACAGTCTCCAGCGCCGCCGCTCATCCATATCGATTCGGTTCGCTTAACATCCGTGACTCAACCTCCGGTCTAAGATGGCGCGAAACGATCGATATTTCTCGATTCACAAATTGTCATCGTCCGGATGACGTTCGGGCTCGTGCGCTTCGGCTGACACTCGTCAGGCGAGAACGCTAATTGCAACTGTTTACGGTGCTGAGTGTACCCTCGACCTCACTCCAAGATTTTTTACCTAACCGTCTTCCTTGCCTTCTGATTCGAGAAACTCCAAGTTATCATCCGTCCTGCCCCCCTCACTTACGTGGTTTCCTGGAAACGCTCGTTCCTCCTTGTCAATATCATCCATCCCACTGCTCACCTGAATGTAATTAATTGGTGATTGCAAGCCTGGCCGTAATGACTATGCTTCTTCCTCTTTTGATTTGTTTATCAAGTATGGTTAGCGTCTTTACGATCAGTCGATCTTCGGCCTATCAGAGACAAATCTGGCTATAATGTACATACAACGTTGATATAATGGGGGTTTCATGATGTTTTTGTTAAATCGCGCAGGTACGCCCATTGGCGGCCTTATGCGCCCATTAATCTGTAGAGTCAAAGAACTTCATGTCGGTACGTTTGTGTCCGTACGTCTACCCATTAGTGAAACATGAGCTTCAGAGTAATATACTTCTTCTGTCTTTAGCTGTAATGCGCCTCACTTAACTTCATCCTCGGCTCTGATCGGCTTCAACCTTGTTTTGATAAGCGTTACTGGTATAGCGCAGATCCTTCATTGCCTTCACAGACATACCGTGCCCCCCCCTGATTGCATTCCAGTGAAGCAGTTGACTTTGCGGTATGAAGAAATTATTAAGTTTACGCTGACATTTTATATTAACAGAAAACCTTATCCACTGGGGTTCAGTAGATTTCAGGATATACGGTTATGCTTTTCGCTGTTATACAGTTGGGCACATAGAATCTGAATAGTTATCAAAAATGCAATTTTATCCTGCGGTATGCCGATGTCAAGCCATCGTACGGCGTTCGTTCAATGGAACTATATACCTCTTCGCAATAATAAGTGTATTTAATAGCAGTTTACAGGCATTGCCAAAGAGGGATAAAGCATGGAACGGGCTACCATTGAAAAAAATTTCTGAGGAAGTGTATATCGATTATGGTGTTTTTGGATAGTTTGCATGGTTCAGAAGAAAAAATCCTCCTGCCCGTGATATTACGTCAGTCCAGAAAGGGATGGTTAACACTGCATCGGATGTTTTCAGTCTTCATTTCTTTTCATGATTTTGACTGGACCTAACGGAAGCATTGGAGAACATTTGCTCGCGTCGGCTGAAGAAATTGTCCCTAGTGTTTGGGCTGAAGAGTCAACACCAGTTCTCACCTGACGAGACCGGCCAGGGGACCAGAGGCCACGAACTACATCACTACGGCAGATTAATTCCTTGGATTCAGCGTCCGAAAATTCTCGGAGTTTCTCTGCGTGCAAAAAAAGAGTAATAATTCTCTTAAACACTGGATAATTTTGTAGAATTTTTCTACTCCTGGGTAACTTTTCTCAAATTGCAAATGTGTTCACAGAAAAAAACTGACGACATTTACCGGTAATTACCAGAGACAAAAATAAAAAGACCTCGTGGTGGCTATTACGTCAAGGGTGGTCAGTATGTTTTAAAAGTGGTAAGCAAGCTAAACGTACGACTGTTTAAAAGCCTAAACAGCAAAATATTCCCTTTTGTAATCAACAAAAACACGAGAGATCAAGGCTTGTAAGCCCTCAACGTTCATGGTTTGACAAATGATGGCGTTACGAAGTTAAAACTCCTTTGGTAATAAAATGCTAGACGGATTCTTTTTTACTCTGCTCAGCAGCACGCATGAGGCTAGCTAAAAAGGAAAAGTATTCCAGGCTAGGTCTAACGTACATTTTGTAAAGGCGCATTCGAATATCGCTAGTTCTTAAATTTTGGAGAATAAACTCGGTGACTCTGCATGCTTTGGAGACTACCAAGGCTCAGTTTTCCGAAAGGTTAAGACTGATGGAGAATGATACTCCCAGATCCTTACTAACTCCAGGCACATTCATAAAGTAACCGTCAATATTATTTTTGTAACTGAGGCATGTACAGCAACTGCCATCAATAATTCCGAACTCTCTCTTCTAGGCTATACCTGCTTTCGAAATGATCGTCAAGACAGCCGCCGTGTGGTAATCTGCATCTACGTTAAGCACACACTTGCATTGGTGATGTTCAACATGGCAAATGGAGTTTTCATCATCCAAGTGTACTTTCATGTCACTTGGTCCTGCCAAACTCCCTGGTCCCATAATTTTTCAGAATAACCCACTCTCAGAATGCCTCACCATAAAGGACCTAGGTCTAAGTTATACAAATAAGCTTGCTTTATCACCTCATGCAGATAGAATCTCTGCCAAAGCCGCGCAGATATGTGGATTCATATCGCATAATTTTTTCCTTCCGGAAATGAAGCTAAGACTTTATCAAATGTTTGTTCTTCCCGTCCTCGAATATTGCTGTCCTTTCTTCGCTTTAGTGAACGCCTGCGACCGTAATAAAATCGAAAATGTTCAGAGGGTTTTCACCCGGAAACTGTTCTCTCAAGCTTCGTCCAGTATTTCTTATACTCAGAGATGTCAGCTGGCGAACATGAAGTTTTTGTGGGTTAGAAGACTCGAAGCTGGCCTTTGCTTCCTTTTTCGCATCAACTCTAGCTCCAATCTTCCACTCATTGATACTCTCACTGCGAGAGATCAGTCTTATGCAACGCGCAACTCCTTCATGGTGATTTCGCCGCCTCTTTGCACTACATCTAAACGCCCTCTCTTCTTTGCCTCCAAATATGCCTTCCTTTGCAATAATCATCCACCAGAAGTTAGTTCATCGCCTAAGTTACTGGTATTCAAGTAAAAATTACACAAACACCTTACACTGGAAAGTATAAAGGCTCGTTTAACGATCTTATTCCCGAACACTCAGCTTCTTGACTTCGAGAAGAGTCCTCCTGGGATTTAGTGGTAGATCAAGAGGTAACCGTCGATTATCTCATTAGAAACCCTGTTTTGAATTGATTTCTATATCCAGTGCTACCACTCCTCCCCATAGGGACGATTTTCGCGGTTCTTGATGTCATCTCCCGCATTTCGACCTCATGCGTTCTGTCGACGCTCATGGCGGAACCCTCAGTATTCACCGTCTACTAGTATTCTGGTCGTACCTCCCTTGCCCACTCCTCGGCTGCGCTCGAAGCGTAGTGTAGCCGATCGCGTGTGCGTTCCACTCGTCTGGCCTCTTGGACGCGAAGAGTCCCATCCGGCGTATCAATCCTGCCCTGGCGGTGTCAGCTCTGAATTGCGTAAACAATACCACATGCATGCCAGTCCTGTCCGACCCGCAAACCTACCCCTCAAGGTTGACATTTATTTCTGCCCTGAGAATGTCCGCTTGTAATCCGTTATATACCGCAACATACAGACCAGCCCTGACCTCATTTTTCTGTTATTATTTTTTATCGAGGGGTTCTTTACTCCTGTGAAATTAATCCAATCAATTTTAAATTTTTAAGTGTTTTGTCACCTCTCGCTTGTCATTATTCTCAACAGACTACTAAATCAGCAACTATATATTGCATTTTGTACAGATTCTGCCAACCTCGTCAAAAATTCGCATGTAATTTTATTTTACTTTCTTTGAGTGGACCCCGATGGGTCTTTAATAAAAATTCTTATTATTAATATTATTACTATCTCATTCCCCATCTCCAAAGCTTTTCGGAGAAGTCAACAACACGCAACACAGCTTTCGTCTTCGTGGCTGTCTTCCACTAAGCTTACGAAATTCTTGGGCCCGTTTGGCAGGATAGATTTGATAGCAGAAAACCCGACAGCATATTCACTTATAAAATGTGCATCGTTTACTCCATCATTTTTTTAGCCGTCTGCTGCGCGTCCGTGGCCCGTTGGTAGCAACATTAATCTCGCCACCCTCTGGCAGGGTTCGATCCTGACTCGGCGCAGACTTTTTGATTAACTTTCCGAAGACACTTTTTCGATTACCATTAGTACGTAAATAAACTGGCGGGGTTTTTAAAGTTGTTTGAGGAGTTATTTAATCAGGCCAATAATATAATGTAAATAGCAAACTACTCAGTCATTGGAAGCACGGCTGATCAATGTGACCCCAGCCTTCTCCTAGCTTATCTCTGTTATATGGACTACAGATAAAAGACAAGCCGAATGGTTGAAGACTATTGAAATCAGAACTTTGAATTAGGTGCCCGGCATATGAAATTTTAGCTCAGCCTCGAAAAGTTGAAAAAGTCATTCGAGCCCCCCAATAGTCCACCTCGGATAGGCCAAGGCTAGTAAAAAGTGGATGGGCTACTTCATGTGCTGGCAGTATCGTAAACCGTGTGCATTAAACGAAGTAAATACGTCGAGCACGTTTATACTATAATTCAGACCGAAAGGCGGGGTAAATCAAAGCCAGACTGAAAAGTCACCGCACTATTATAGAGATGGAAAGGGGGAACCTATGAAAATCGGAACAAAAACAATTCCATCCAAGAACTCATTTCCTTTTCTTCATCATATTTGGCGAATAGGAGTGCGGCAAGCTATCTTGACCATAAATTATCACGGACATGTGTTAAAAGGGGAGGCTGTGGACAAATTTGTCCACAGCCTTAAGGCAAGGGTGACTAAGATGGCAATCACTGGCATGTTAGCCACTGTCAACCAGTTATACATAACCCTAGGTTTTGGGGATACCTGGGGTTCTAAATCCTTTTTGGTCTTTGCGAAGTAATTAGATGAGCATTCAGTTCGACTGCTGATATAATTAGCTCGGCCGAATTATATTGGCCAAAAAGTAACTCCTTGATATTCCTTAATTTCGGACAGGCAGTCGTTAGTGTGCATTGCATGAACTATAGAAATCACCGCCCTTTTAACTAAAGTTTCAGCATCAGCCCATTTGTCATCTTAGTGAACTCTCAGTGAACCTGCACACGCATACGTCCAGACCAACTCTTGGTCTCAAACACTTACAAAATGGGTAAAAAGACCAAGGAATAAACTACGGTATCAGTTGCGGAGTGAGATCGCTGCAGGTCTTCAAGAAATATTTGCTTGACTATGTCCCAATAATTTTTTGTCCGAACACCATATGTGGAGTATATAAATGCTCGCAGAAGACGTCCGAATAATTAAACTTAGCTCTCTCCAGTGAATGATTAACTCAACAGGGTTTTGGCGAAATTCCGAAAAAATTTATACAGAGCGATCGTAATGTACAAATCTGTTTATATTTATATCACGCTGAA